ACCTGCTGTTCACTTGTACCCTTTGTAGGTCAGCCGCTTCCCTGCGTTCTGGGAGCCGTTCTAGCAAGTTATCAAACCCAAGGAAGTGTGGGTGACCTGGGGACCTGTCACTTGCAAATGGCCTCTGAAGTGGGGCCGGTCTTGGGGGACCGAGCCCTTAACCTGTGGGATCTCTGCTGACTGGCCAGGGAATTAGTGTCAGAATTGAATTCAATCACTGGACAACGAGTTGGTGTCAGAGAATTGGTTGGTGTGGGGAGAAACCACACATAGTTGATGTCAGAAAGCATGAGACATTTTCTGGGCAGAGATGTTGGGCATTTGATCTCCTCCTGAGAGCCAGAGGGCATCCTGGGTTTGCTTAGCAGCAGGGAAGACAGACCAGCCCTCTCCCCACCATATGCCCGCCTAACACCTGGGACCTGCCCGCACCGCTGCCCTGCTGACCCAGCGTGTTCTCAGGACTCGGGCAGGCATCACCCATGCCCTCCCCAGAGGGCCTGTGGTGGTTTTAAAACATGTCAACACATTCTTTGATACTCATCTTTCCAAGAGGTGGAGACTTATTCCTCTCCCCTTGAACATGGGCTGAACTTAGTAACTTGCTTCTAAATAATGTGCTGGAGTGGGAAGGGATAAATCAGGAATTTGAAATTTGCAGCTCTTGGGGAGTGATGGAAACATTCGCTACCTTGATTGTGGTCGTGGTTTCATGGGTGTGGACATCTATCAAAATTCATCCAATTGTACATCTGAAATATGTGGAGTTTACTGTAGAGGAACCACACCAGAATAAAGAGGTTAAAAACATTCTTAGCAAGAAAAAAAAGAGGCTAGTATATAACATAAATCCTCCTTTCCAATTTTCAGACTTGTAATCTCTTTTTCTTCTTTGTGCTGATTAATATCAAGTAAAAACGGCTCTACCAGGAAAAAAAGAACGTGCTGGAAGTGCTGGGCATGACCCCGAGAGTAGGTCGTAAAAAGCGCTGTGGCTTCCCTTTGGATAGCTCGCTTCGGGGAAGCCGGCCTCCACATTGTAAGGTCACTCAAGCAGTCTTGTGGCAAGGCCCATGTGGAGAGCAACTGAGGCCTCCTGCCACCGGCCACCTGAGGGCCATCTAGGAAGCAACCGGTCCAGCCCCAGGGGGCCTTCCGATGATGCAGCCTCCTGAGGTCCAGAGCCACTCCCACAGCCCTGGCCCTCAGAGGCTCTGAGATAATAAATGTCTGTCGTGGTTGCCGGCCTGTAAGTCTTGGGGAACTTGGTCCCACAGCAGT